ACACAGCTGAACTCCAAGAATAATATTCAGATTCAACATTCTGAAAGAATCATTGATATCCATACTTGACAAGTTCTAACCACCTTTTTTTTTTAAAAAAAACTAAAATAAAAATAAGTAAGTCAAGTAAAAGTACAACTTAACTTTTGGGGCCGTCTTATTTCCAAATAAAATTTACAAGGCAGAATTTTTGTAAGCTGGTGTACAAGCTCCTGTTTGCTTTCGGCAGATCTGGCCAGTCAAGGGCCTTTTTAAAGCAAAGAACAGGAAAGCCCAGATCATTCCAGGTACCACCCAAGGAATCTGGACAGAGCACTGATGACCTCAAGGTCATATTCTGGAGCCATCAACACACGGGCAAGTTATGTCACTCACTGCTACAGATGATAACCCCTAGCCTCACTGCTCATTTTCAAACACATGAGAAGCAGAAAGGGGCTGGCAAACTCATTCCCATTCCTGGGGAAAAAAAAATAATGCACATACCTTACCAGGGCAGCCCAGAGAAATTATCTTTGTACACAAAAGCTGAAATTATATAAACTTGGAAGGCAACAGGTTATGAAAACCCTATAAATTTATGTTCAGGCTTCCAAACAATGTTCCCCTTCCACTCTTCTCCCCTCCCCGCTAAACTGAGACACCAAGTCTGGGATGTGAGTTACAGCTATGATCTTAGCCAAAGTGGCCCAATTACATCTGAAAGCTTTCGGCTCCAGGAAGTTTCAACAGACTGGTGTCTGCTGAACCATCACCACCCCCCTCCCCCCCACCCCCACCAAGTGCTCAGGGAATAGCATTATCTCATTAATTCTTAAGAAATATCTATTAAAAAGGCAGAGGGAAAGGAATCATTTTATGTATCCTACAGAGGAGGGAACAAGCAGAGACAGTATTTATAATTCAGAGTGAGATTGTGGCATTTCAAGAGAGGAAGAATACTGGCAGGTCATGCTGATTTTCTGAACGGTGCCGGGCAAGTTTAGAAAGCAATTGGAAAGCTGATCAGAGTAGCGACGTCTTTGACAGGCACCAGGACAAAGAATCTCAGACGAGGAAGGCAGATTGCTGGCTCTTTGTCAAGGTGCTGACCTATCTTTCCCAGGAACAAATGTAACTTAGAGAGTGTATAAATATGGGCATAATGACAGTGAAAATTCTCATTTTACAGGGCAAAAAAGACCAGAGAAACAAGCCTGAAATGAACTACTAGATTGTCTATATGCCTCGATGGAAAGGAAGTTGCGGAATTCTTCAACAAATATTGAAAAATAGGAACGGTTTAGAGATTATCATTTGCCAGCTGTTTCAGGAATGGGCAGATTCAGGTTTTAAGACCCTCAACAACCTTGTGGGAATCAGCGATGCTGGAGAATTTCTTTGCAAAGCTTTCAGAGTTGTTCATAAATGAAGAGATTCATACATAGCTCGGGAGAATACTGAAAAGTACTTTCACAATCATGATCTCATTTTATCCTTGTAACGACCCTGTCAAGAATGGTTAGTCCCTACTTTCTGGAGAAGGGATCAGCGTGGAAAAGAAAAATAACTTGCCTACAAGGTTATCAGAGAACAAAAAAACAGGGGCTAGTACCAAGCGCGGGTGGTGCCAACAAGAGCTGATGTTCTGAGCTCTGCTTCTCAATTTGGTAAAAGCTGCATTTGTGGTGGCACAGTGGTCTCGTGTCACAAATGAGGGTGGCCCATGCCTGAATATACAACATGAATATATCATAGTATTTAACTTACTATAGCTAGTATTTTAAATGATCGATAAAGTCAAAGGAAAATAGCACTAAATCTACATAGTGTTTTGTGGTTGGAGTTAGGTGTAAAGTGTCTTTTATTCAAAGATTTGGATTCCTATTAGAAGACCCTGAAGAAAACTCTAGATGATTTCACAATGTAGCACATATTCTGGATTTGCACAAGTGTAGCTGTATTTTGTTGATGATTTTAATAATGGCCACTCTCATTTATAAACGGCAAAATCAATCATCCCGTAAAAGTGGTTTCCATCCTAAGTGCAGCTAACTACTCTTTAAGATAAAGGGGAAATGAAGACACATGCTGAGGCCCTTCTACCTCAAGTGTCTGTCAGCATCAACGTCTTCCTAGTTGAAAGTGTATAAACCTAGAAGTCATCTTTATCTCTCTAGGTCTCCTTTCTCATATAAGGGTCCTGAATTAGATGATCAGGAAGGTCCCTTCTAATTCTTAGACTGTATCATACGATAAAACGGGATCCCAGCCCAGTTTGAAAAGCTATGTGTCTGTTTACTTTAAACCAGTGCCAGTGATGGTAACTG